CATAACTAACAATGCACAAACACCAGAAGAGAAACTAGATAACTGGGAGCTCCTAAAAATCAAACAGTTATGCTCATCAAAATACTTCACCAAAAGCATAAATAGAGAACCTACAGACTGGAAAAAAAGTTTGGCTACGACATATCCGATAAGGGTCTCATCTCTAAACTCTAGAAAATACTTCAACAGTTCAGTAACAAAATGACAAATAATCCAATTAAAAATTAGACAAAGGATATGAACAGACACTTCAACAAAGAAGACATTTAGGTGCCTAACAGACACATGATGAAATGCTCACAATTATTAGCCATTAGAGAAATGCAAATCAAAACTACATTGAGATACCATCTCACCCCAACAAGGCTGGCACTAATCCAACAAACACAAAATAACAAATGTTGGAGAGGTTGTGGAGAGATTGAAACTCTCATACATTCCTGGTTGGAATGTAAAATGGTACAACAACTTAGGAAAACCATATAGTGCTTCTTTAAAAAGCTGGAAATAGAAATACTATATGATCCAGCAATACCACTCTTAGCAATATACTGGAGAGAAATAAGAGCCCTCACACAAATAGACATATGCACACCCATGTTCATTGCGGCGCTATTCACAATAGCAAAAAGATGGAAATAACCTAAATGCCCATCAACAGATGAATGGATAAAAAATTATGGTACATACACACAATGGAATATTATGCAAGAATAAAGGACAATGATGAATCCGCAAAACATCTCACAACATGGATGAATCATGGATGAGGCAGTCACAGAAGGACAAATATTGTATGAGACCACTATTATAAGAACTCAAGAAAAGGTTTAAACACAGAAAAAAGCATTGTTTGGTAGTTACAAGGGTGAAGAGGGAGGGGGAGGGGAAATCACTAACTAGATAGTAGACAAGGATCAACTTTGGTGAAGGGAAGGACAACGCACAGTACAGGAGAAGTCAGCACAACTGGACCAAAGCAAAAGCAAAGAAGTGTCCTGGACACATCCAAACACTTCGAGGGACAGAGTAGCTGGGGCTGGGGCATGGAGACCATAGTTTTGGGGAACATCTAGGTCAATTGGCATAACATAGTTTATAAATAAAATGTTCTACATCCTACTTTGGTGAGTGGCGACTGGGCTCTTAAAAGCCTGTGAACAGCTATCTAAGATACGTCAATTTGTCCCATCCCACTCAGAGCAAAGAAGAGTGAAGAAAACAAAAGACACAGGGAAAATACTAGCCCAAAGGACTAAAGGACTTAATGAACCAGAGACTCCACCAACCTGAGACCAGAAGAACTAGATGGTGCCCAGCTACCACCAATGACCACTCTGACAGGAGACACAACAGAGAGTCCCGGACAGAGCAGGAGAAAAAAGTAGAACAGAACACAAATTCACATAAAAATATCAGACTTAATGGTCTGACAGAGACTGGAGGAACCCCTGAAAATATAGCTCCCAGATGCACCTTAAACTAGAACTGAAACCATTCCCAAAACCCACTCTTCAGGCAAAGATTAGACAGGAGTATAAAACAAAAAATAATACACATGAGGAATGTGCTTTTTGGTTCAATCAGATATACGAGACCAAATGAGTAGCTCCTGTCCAAAAGCAGAATAAGAAAGCAGGAAGGGACAGGAACTGGTCAAATGGACACGGGGAACCTGGGGTGGAAAGGGGGAGTGAGCTGTCACATTGTGCGGATTGCAGCTAATGTCACAAACAATAGGTGTATACATTTTTGAATGAGAAATTAACTTGAGCTGTAAACTTTCACCTAAAGCACAATAATAATTTTAAAAAGTTTTTCTTCTACATTCCTTACTGTCTGCCACTCTGTCTCTCTCCTTCCATTCATTGCCAATTTTCTTAAAAGCATATGCAAGTAAATGCATGTGCACGTATAGATGTATCTGTAGGCATATGTATATACAAGTTTGTGTGTGCTGCATATGTATCCACATATATAACAAACCACATAGGGGGCATAGTTACGGAGCAGGCTTCATAGACCTATCCAAACAACTTGCAGGATTGGTGTACTGGGTCAAAAGGCCTGGGGCCATAGTCTTGGGGGACTACTTAGTCAATTGGCATAACATAGTTCACGAAGATAATGTTGTACATCCTAGTCTGATGAGTAGTGTTTGGGGTCTTAAAAGCTTGTGAGTGGCTATCTAAGATACAACTATTGGTCTCTACTCATATGGAGCAAAAAATAATGAAGAAAATCAAAGGCTCAAAGAAGAAAGTCTGTGGGACTAATAGTCCGCAGGAACCGCAACCTCTTCTAACCTGAGACCGGAAGAACTAGATGGTGCCTGGCTACCACTACCGACCATTCTGACCAGGGACACAACAGAGGGTCCCAGATAGAATGGGAGTAAAATGCAGAACAAAACTCAAATTCATGAAAAAAGCCAGAACTACTGGACCGATAGAGACTAGAGGAACCCCCAAGAGTACTGCCCTGAGACACCCTTTCAACTTGGAATTTCAGTTCAGCTATTTCTGCAGGTCATCTTTCAGCCAAATAATAGATTGGCTTATAACATAAACAGTATTATCTGGGAGTAATGTGCTCCCTTAAACAATTAACTATATCAAACAGATTGGAAATAATGAGAATGCAGACCCATTGTAAAAATTGTAACCAATGGCATGAAACAAT